AGCTCACCTCCAGTGACACACCTCCTCCAATAAGGCCACATTTCCTAATCCTTCCCAAACAGTTCTACCAACCGGAGACTAAGTATTTAAACATATGAGCCTATAGGGGTCTGTTCTCACTGAAACTACCACACAGTTTAACATGGACCCCAGAAGCCCATAGTTTTTCTTTTCTTTTCTTTTCTCTTCTTTTTTCCCTTCCTTCCTTCCTTTCTCCCCATTTGGGGGGGGGGAGGGGTTCAAGACAAGATTTTGCTGTGTAGCTCTGGCTGTCCTAGAGCTTCCTCTGTAGACCAGCCTGGCCTCAAACTCAGGGACCCACCTGCCTCTGCCTCTTGAGTGCTGGGATTAAAGGCATGTGCCATCATGCCTGGCTCTAGAAGCCATAGTTTTTCAAACCAAAATATGAGTAGCCAGTGTAGGATACCTCCCTATGAAGTTTTAGCCAGCTAGCTAATCCCAAAACAATAGAGGCTATGTCATTGCTCTTGGTTGTCCACTAGAACTAAACAGTAAAACCCAATTGCTGAAGACACCACACATTCCATATAACAAGCTGAAACTGAGCTAGAAGCTTCTTCCCTGTTGGCTAATATTCATAGTACTGGAAGGTGCTGCGTAGGCCGTTGGGTGATAAAAGTCATAAATAATCATACCCATCTGTGGACCCTGCATGCTAAAATGATGAACTGCCTGGCAAGATATTCCCAGTGGTGCAACAGTGACATGGATGCTCTGGAAGTAACCAATCACTTCTTGATCAGATCTGAGGCTCATTTTATAGGAAGAAATACATGCCCAACACTTGGCCAAAAGTCTTGGACTAGGGAGGCCTTATGCTAAGTGGCTTCCAAATATTGATGTTTATATCCACAGACCAGTGCAGTTCTCGGATTTGGTCAGAAAAGCCTCTTTTGGCAGTGGGTGATGGTCAAAGCAGGGACCCATAACTAGTCAAAGTGCTGAGAATAAGTAACTTCTGAGTACTTAGATCAAAAAGGGACACCTGTGTGACACTCCCCCCTTTAAAATGCAGGGAGTGTTGAGGAAGAGGGGGTGGAAGGACTGTGAGAACTAACCAGGAGTAGTGCAGTGGAGTACTGTCTTCTGGATATGACCCAGGAATACACAGAGGCTATGACTGCCTGTATGGGCAGGGGAAGGGAAAGAAGGACACAAGGGTAGGAGGGAGACTAATTGGAAAGAAGGGGTCAACAGAAGTAGAGGAGAGATGAGAGAGGGTAGTGGGGTGAATGTAATCACAATGCATTGTATACAAGTATGATTATCTTATTGTAATTATTAAATTTTTGAAATCACTTCTTTCACTCTCAAAAAAAATTTGGGTTCAGAAGATAAAGATAAGACAAATGATCCCCTTAACAATTATCCCTCAGTTACGTGTAAGATAAAGAACTCCCAGGCCAAACAGTCGTTAAGTGACAGATCTGGGATTCAAACCCTGCCAGCTTGACTCTGAAGGATGTGCTTGTAACTATTTCATCATACTGCATTATGGAGGTCTGTGAAATCCAAACTTGGGGTGAATGTTGTCTAACCATCCAAGCAGAAATCCCTCCTCAGGTCAGTGGAGTACAAGGTTGAATAAAGAGAAATAGGCAGTCAGTTTGGAGAGGAAAGACAGAAGTGTGTTGGAAGGCTCTGGTGGAGGCAGGAAAAAGGATAAAGCCGCCTATACCACTTCACACACTTGGGTGGCTCCTCATTACTCATCTCCTGGGAACTTTCCCCAGCAACAAAAGTGGAACAAAATCTCAATCCCTCTGCTCCTCAGAGAACAACTTAGAGTCTCTGCAAAGTACAAGAATCTATACAAAACAGAAATCCTGCCTAAGAAAAATGTCATTGGAAGTGAGAGGACCTGTTTTCCATAGAAACTAAGTCTTTGAGAGACGGAACTTGTGATGTGAGGAATACCTTCCATATTATTTACCCATCCCACCAAGTCATTCAGGTAATTGAGTATGGCTTTAATGTCTGCTGTACTGTCTTAGAGATGCTATCCACTCTAACATGATCTAAGACAAACTACAAATTCAACACTCCCCCTGGGCTCATTTCCTCCTCTACCTCTACCCTTTGCTAGTGACTTTGCACCAGTGACTTAATTTCAAGGAATCTGGGTTGATCAGCCTGTATAGCAGAGAGCAACTTCCTAAGAGGAAAGAGACCTATCATAAACCTGCTCTAACTTATGGATTTCAAAGAAAAATTGAAATAATTTAGGGACCATCTACTAACAGTTTCCTCTCCCCCCTCTAGTACATGTAACAGTGAGCTAACAAGATGAGCTCTGCCTGTAAAGTCACCTGTCTGAGAGTAACAAAGTTGTTACTGGATTTCTAGATCATCCGTGTGGCTATTTCAAAACCATTACCATGCTAGCAGATACTTATAGAATGGTATCTGACACACCAAAGCCCTCACTGTTGTGTTGGCACTTCAGAGAGAAAAAAAAAAAGAACTTTATTAAAAGAACAAAATTAGAGTAGGCACAGAACTGTCAGTTGTTTATCCTAATAAAACAAAACAGGAGTTTCACATTTTGAATAAAGGGAGGTTTGACTATCCATAACAATTGAGACAATTATTGAATTTCATTGTTGTAATGGTAGCCCACTGATTAACTGTGCTGCATGATTAACCTCAGCTTTGTTTTACAAGCATACTTAACAGCAAAATCATGTGAAAGGTGTTTAGGTATATAACTGGAAGTAAGTTTATTCAAATTAAAGTTTTCTCTTCTCCTAGAGGATAGGAGAGCTTGAGAACAGCTAATTCATTCAAAGCAAAACTTCATTTGTTGGACATTTTTTTCAACATTCTAAAGCCAGTTGTTGGAGGTGACTTTACTTAAGAAAAGCCAACTTCTAGTCTTAGGGTAAAAAGCCATACTTCTGGTCCTAGACTTTCTTTCTCAGAATAACCAATGTTCTTTTCTTTCATGTATTTATATTTTCATCAGAACAAATATTCAGATGTGTTTAGCAGTGATAAATCTTCATGTTTAGAGCAATATTTGATTTTGGAAACATGAAGTCACTCAGAACAACCTTGGGTGATTAATATACTAATTAGCTTGAACATGATGTGGTTTTTTGGAACCCAGAATGCTGAATACTTAAAAGAATTTTTTTGAAGGTTCATTCCTGTGAGGTGAGAGAAAAGGCATCGCTATCCTCCTGAGGCAAAGGTTAAGTTTGAGTAGGTTCAGGACTTCCTATCTTAACCCACTGCCTTTGCTTCAGTGCCTCAGTAAAGCCACAGTTCCCTGAACTGGTAAAGCTGCTTGGCTTCCCCAGGACAATGAACAAAGACTCAGTGAGCCCACTCTCTGGAAAAGGAATTTGTGGCGATGCTGTCTTAGTCTGTTTTCTATTGCTATACATGAACACCACCACCCCAATTTCTAAAGAATAGCTGTTTGTTTCACTAATGGTTTTTAAGGCTAGAAAGTCCAAGAATTTGATATTAGCATCTGGTGTGGGCTTTCATGCTGTATCATGACCTAGCAGAGGCATCACATGATGAAACAGAGCAAGCATGCTAGCTTAGGTCTCTCTTCCTCTTCTTAAAAAGCCACAAATGCCATTATTAGGACTACTCTCTTGACTTTATCCAATCATAATTACCACTCAAAGATCCTGCCTCCAAATACCTATGACTTTGGGAATTAAAGTTCCGATCATGAAATTTGAGGGACAAAGTCAAATCACAGCACCATCTCTGACTTAGAATTTAATACGGCAGCTTATAGGCCTTGGGCTCTAGAACGAAACAATGTTGTATTTTTTATTCTAAATTTTCTTTCATAAGTCCCCAATCACTTTGGTTCACAGCATCTCTTACTTTCTTCATAATTCTATCATAGACCATCTTTCTCAGATGGATCTCCAAATCTAAATCCTCAAAGGGAGTCTGGGTAATGAACTAACTTTACCAACTGCCCCACTAGGAAGAGTCCTTACATTGGACCTTCTGTATCCATCAAAGACAGCCTTATCCTCCTTCTCTAAGCAAGCAGCCATGGGAAAGGAGCTTCCACTAGAAGCATACGGACAGCACATACAGCTGCTACTGTTGATTCTCTTTTGAAGCTATCCTTGCTGTGTGGAAGAAAAAAAAAGAAGGAGGAGGAGGAGGAGAAAAGAAGAAGAAGAAGAAGAAGAAGAAGAAGAAGAAGAAGAAGAAGAAGAAGAAGAAGAAGAAGAAGAAGGAGAAGAAGGAGAAAAGAAAAAAGAAAGAAAGAAAGAAAGAAAGAAAGAAAGAAAGAAAGAAAGAAAGAAAGAAAGAAAGAAAGAAAGAAAGAAAGAAAGAAAGAAAAAAAGAAAGCTTCAAACTTTCAGAGAGGCAGAGAGGCAGAGCTGGCCTCCACGCCCCCAGTGCCCCAATTCCTGCATAGCCCACTGTGCCCTCTCCTGCCCCAACCTGCAGGAGTGTTCCATCCTCTGGGCTCCACCCAAGAATCTCCATCCTCTTGTTCAGGATCCTCCTCAACCACCCATGGATCTTTCCTCCACCATCCATCTGGACTCCTAATCTGATGTCCGTGTCCCTTACAAGAGTTCAGCAACTCGGATTTTTGGAACCTACTTCGTATGGTGGGATGCCTCGCTCAGCCTTGATGCAGTGGGGAGGAGCTTGGTCCTGCCTCAACTTGATATGCCATGCATTGTTGTCTTCCATAGGAGGCCTTACCCTTTCTGAAGAGTGGACTGGGGGGTAGAAAGGAGATGAGGGGGGAACAGGAGGAGAGGTGGGAGGGGAAACTGTGATTAGTATGTAAAAGGAAGGAAAGAAAGGAGGGAGGGAGGGAGAGAGGGAGGGAGGGAGGGAGGGAGGGAGGGAGGGAGGGAGGGAGGAAGGAAGGAAGGAAGGAAGGAAGGAAGGAAGGAAGGAAGGAAGGAAGGAAGGAAGGAAGGAAGGAAGGAAGGAGAAAAAACTCCTCCCTATCCTGGGTCTCTCTCATGTGTCTGCAGGGCCTGCCCAGTCCCTTCCTGCGCTGCCCTTCACAAAGACTCTTGGATCGTGTGGTTCGACGCTATGCAGAAGTGGCTGACGCTGGCAGCATCTTCATGGACCACTTCACCGACCGTGACAAGCTGCGGCTCCTCTACACACTGTCTGTCAATGCACACCCCATCATTCTTCAGGTACTCAGTGACCCCCACAAGCCCTACAGGTTATGTTACCACCTTGGACTTTCAGAGGCCATCCCTGGGTTGATTTTTTTTCTCCTCTTCTTGCTTCATGTCTTGGGGCCACAAATCTGTATTAGTACATTTGCAACATCAGGTAAGTGTTTGACCGTCTTGGCAGCTAGTGAGGAAAGAGGTATGGGAGTACAGAGCTGGGGATGTGAGTAGCAGGGAACAGCAGCCAACTTTACAAGTTGAGGCAGCCAGGAAGGGCTTTGTGAAGGGAGGCAAATTTAATCTCTGCCACTAAGTAGTGATAAATAAGATTTAAGTAAGCTCAGGGACTAGTGAAACAGCCACCCAGAGATGTACCTTGAAGCTGTGTTTGGAAAGGAGAAAAAAAACCTGAAAGTGACATAATTGAAAAATGATCAAAAAATGAGGATGTACTGGGACCTGGGGACACACTTAGTCAAAAAGATAGACACTTACTATGTTAACAGACGTCCATAGAACTTGTGGAGCTAAATTCCCCAGACCAAGGGTCAGGACAAGGACACCTAAGTCACATAATGAACAGAAAAGATACCAGAAGTCGGAGGAGAGGAGAAGGGGGTGAAAGAAGACTAAAAGGTGGAGGAGTGGGTCACAGAGGAGGAGGAAGAGAGAATAGTAAGGGGAAGGGAGGAAAGGAAGAGAAAAAGCTAGACATGGTGGTATAGGCTGTATAATGAAATCATCTTTTAAAATACCATAATATAAAAACACGGGTAGAGAAAAAAAAGAGCCACAACAAAGACGGTTCCTAAATATTTGCCAAAAAGTTAATGGTTGACTACACAATGAAGACTGTTGAAGGTTATTGGATACTTGCTGCATGCCAGGTGTTGTGCTGAAGATTTGCTCTATTGTCAGTTCCCACTACAAGCCCCCCAGAATGATATTATGATTCCCATTAGGGCTCAGAAAAAACAAGTGTCTTAGCCACTATCAGCCATGAAACCTAAACCCAAAGATGTCTGACATCAGAGACAACAGACACTGTACTCTACTCACTAAATCCTGCCCAGTGTCTTTGCTATTTGACATACTAGTGGCAGAGAAGGAGCTGCTATTTGCCCTACATGCTCAGGGATCTTCTTGGAGGTCTGTTACAGTTCTAACTTTTGTTGGCATCTTGATTACCCCAAGGTCTGGCTCCTGAGAGACTTGACCTGGGACACTCCACTCAACCCTGGGCTTTACACAGAAAGAGTGCAGTATGAGACTAAGGAGTGGCTTTGTACATTTAAACAAGGGCAGTAGGTCCAGGTTGTCCCTTGGAGACACATAATATGTAAGGTTCCCCAGTAACAAAAGCTCAAAGAGCGAAGAGCATGATTCTTTATAATGTGACATATAAAGGGTAGAAGATATCAGAAAATTAAGAGAGAGAGAGAGAGAGAACTTTGAAGTCTACTTTTTATTTTATTTTCTGTAGTTCTGGGGATGGGACCCAGAGCCTTGTGTGTGCCAGATAAGCAGTCTGCTACTAAGATGCATCACCCAGACTTACTTTGTTTTCTTAAAAAGGTAAACAAAGGGGAAAGAGGTGTTCATAGTTTTTGTTATCAGTTCTAGACACAGCTTCATTAAAAAAAATGATCAACAGTTGAGATTCTAATGTGGACAGGGAATATTCCACATGGTCGTACCAATAGATGAATACAGGTGGTCAATGGTTACTGAGAGAAAGAGAATCAGTCTTCTCCATGTACAAAAACCCACATGGATTGTCCAATTCCAAATGGTCAGCTCTGGTCACATATACATATGAGTAACACTAAATGGACTCAGTAGATTGTATATATACGTGTGATTATATATGTATCTATGAGTAGCAGTAATAAAGTACAGATCATGAATTTTGAAAAAAGAAGTGGGACATAGGAGTTAGGAAGGGAGGGACGGGAGTGATAGAGATACGGGGTTCATTTATGAAGTACAAAAACAAAAAATGCAGAAGACCTATTTTTAAAAAAATGGTCAAGAAAAATCCAGCTAGGATTCCCTAGCTTTCCATCTCCCAAATCCACAAGTTGGGAGCTTTTACAAGGAGACAGACTGGGCTACACTTCCCACCAGTGGAGAAGAATCTTTGAGTGTGTAGTTATCTGAGCCATGCAGATTTGCTCAGCCTAGCAGTGGTGACAGTCACCTGCATTATTCTTGTCCTATCCCAGAACCAGGCACTTGCATTGTTCTATTTATTCATTCATTTATTCATGAGCTCTGTTGACCAAACTGGTCTCAACCCTCCTGCCTCATCCTCCTGAACAGCTGGAACTACAGACACACATGATACCCTGTTTGTAATGTTTTTACTATTATTATTTTTATTTGTCTTTCAGTTGCCCCAAAGTTAATGTTTTGTTATTTTTTCCATGGTCTCTTCCTAAGCAGTGGTATCTTGGAAAGTGCAGACTAGTCATATTTTTTAATGACATAACTTAAAAGATATTCCCTGAATCCTGGATACCACAGAAAACCATGAAAGGTTGGTTAGCATTCTCAGCTCCCACTTGGAGAAACTTGTATAATCTGATACACTGCACTAATGAGAGCAGCCTCCTTCCTAAATCCTTCCGTTAGCAATACACTACAAAAGTGGGAGAAGAGCAGGGGCCTTACCATGTTCCAAAAGGTATAAAAAGATGGAGAAATGTTTTGCCAGAATGTTTTGAGAGCCAGGCTGGCAGTAAGACTTATTTGTGTGGGCTGTGGGCAAGAGGTAGAAAGCAAGCTGCCTATGTGAGATTAATCTATGTGTCTAATGCCTGATCCTTCTGGCTTGGCAGATCTTCCCCGGGGCAGAGGGCTGGCCACTGCCCAAGTACCTGGGTTCCTGTGGTAGATTCCTGATCAGTACGAGCACCAGACCACTGCAAGAATTTTACGATGCACCTCCAGAGCAAGCTGCTGACCTTGCCTACCAACTCCTTGGGGTCCTGGAGTCCCTGAGGAGCAATGATTTGAACTATTTCTTCTACTTCACCCATGTTGATGCAGACATGTTTGGCATCTTTGACAATGGGCATCTGTTCATCCGCGATGCCAGTGCACTAGGCATCATCGACAAGCAGGAAGGTACTCAGCATGGGCTTGACTAAGCATCTGTCAAAGGGATGTCAGGATGACCAAAGCTAAAGAGGGGTGACCTGGGCCCTTGTACTCTCTGTATGTCACAGAGAAATCCAAGTTTTAGGAACAAAGAACAATGTCCCCTCACGCCCATCTGAATTTCTGTTTCATCTTCATTTCTGAAGGGAAAGTGAATTTGGCCTTGCCTGTAAGGGTCATTGTCCATGGTGGTATGGACTCCCATGAGCCTCGCAGGGTAATTCTGAATCACATTCACATACAAGTCGCAGGCCCCTCTCCCCCTTAGAGCCTTCCTTGTCAGATGCTCTTAGCCTTGATCTAAGACATAATTGCTGGCCTGATGCACTAGTACACTTTGCAGTGAGTGTTGACATACTGACTCTGTAAAGTTTGAAAACAAGAAACTGAATGAGGTAGGTGAGCAAGTCATGTCTCTCGCTGTTGACAAAGGCTCAGCTAGTGCTCTAGAGACCATTAAGCCCCAGTTTCTCAAGGTCACCAAATTTGCTGAGCCCAATAATAGGACAAAAGATTTTCCCATTTCTGACACTTTTTTTTAAACAAATTCTGCAAAGATAGAGAAAACAAACCTTTTCCTCACTTCCTGATTTGCCTTTATTAAGAAGAATCAAATTAGAAGAAAGGTTGGTTCTGCGACCTGCTGAATGCATGTTTTCCTCCCTGACTTTCTATCCTAAATGTGCAATGAGACCAATCCTAATACCATCCTCACTTCCCTAATTCAGTAATAACAGGAAAGTAACAGTGTGCATATAATTTCTACAATTATAGACCAGCTTCTGGTAGGGACAAGTTGGGTTTCCCCTGGCTTGGGTCTTAGCCTACTTGTAGGACATTGTTACTCAGTGCTGTTCTCCAAAGGGGCTGTTGTGTTCCTGAGCCCTAAATCTTCTGGTGACAGGGCAATGCTTGGAGATTAAAGCACTTCACTGAGCAGTTCTAATTGGCAGTCCTCTCTTCCCACCCCCCTTCCCTCCCCATCCCCTCCTCCACAAGAGTAGGTTGTACAGTATCTGATATTTCCCATTTCTCTCCTAGGCAGTCAAGCAGCTGCCAAGACTGGAGAGAAGGAAGACATTTTTAGCTGCCTGGTTTCTGGCTGCCAGGTCCAGCTGTCCTCCTGTGACACCGTCTCTGAGAAGCAAAGCCTGGTGCTGGTGTGTCAACAGTTGCTGCCTCAACTTCTCAGGGGCAAGTTCCCCTCCCCTGTGCAAGAGGAAATAGAGTCTGCTCTCAGCCTGTGTGGCAAAGTTGCCAGCACAGACGTGGAAGTGTTGGGGGCCACCAGCCAGCTGAAGGACATCTTGAGACCACTGAGAACCTGCGATCCTAGATTTGCCTACCGCTACCCAGACTGCAAGTATAATGACAGGTTCTGAGCGGCTGGGGCCTAACTAGCCCGGGGGGGACAATCCCCAAGCTCTTTCATGTCCCTGGTTGAATTGATGCCAAATTGGAAGAAGCAATTTTAAACATTTTAAACATTGAAGTATATTCCTTTCCTAAGAAACACTCGAAACTAGTGAATAAAACCTCTGACACTGCATAATTGACACCACTGGCTAGGATCCCATGGCAGAGTCAGGAGGTGAGCACGGGAAGACCCAGGTGTGAATGTACCATGTCTTTGAACCTCCACTTTCTCTGTACTCTACCAGGCTTTCACAAGTTAAAGAAAACAGATGGGAGGGGCCCAGACATATAGTCGTGACCTACAAAACATGTGTTCCAGAAGCACATGTCAGGAGGCTGGTGTAGGTAGAAGGCAGGGTGAAGGCAGGACTTTAGGCCACTGGAACTTAAGCCCTCATTCCTACTCTCTTGCATCTGTGAGAAGGGATGTGCCCACGCACCACCAGCTACTGAACCCTCTGAGTACCTGGGACTCCTTAGGCATGTGTAGAAGTCACCTCAGGAAGTGGGAAGGAGCCAAGGATAAGAAGAGAAGGGGGACAGCCGAGGTCAATGTGTTTGCTCAGGTCCTCTAAAAGGCAAGTGTCAAAACACAATTACATGAGTTTTCTTAGAGCACATGTTTATGGGGGAGGCAAGACAGAGGGAAACAGGCAAAGGCTGACCCCCAACGAAAGGTAGGCAATGCAAGAAAGATTGTCCGGGTGTCTATAAGACCATACACCAAAGGAGCTCCATAGCTCCCATGAATAGATTCCTTTTATTATCCCTGTGTTCCGGCTAGCCAGAATAGGCTATGGTAAGTGTGACTTCCCCTTAGCTGCAAAGACAGATTTCAGAGCACAGCAGCCTGGGGGGGGCACCAGATAGGTTCCACTGGTCGTTGTAACTATAGCCTGGGACCAGGGTCTGCTGTCTTCCACACCACGTGCTTCAGTGAAAGACTCTAAGGAGTCCTAGAATTTTCATCCAAATGTGGCCTTACAAGTTATTATAAAGAAAAAAAAACATTTTTTCAAGGTCAACCAGTGGAATATATTTTCCTCAACGGTGACTTTACTGTACCTTTAAAATATTTAAATACATGGCTTATGGGTTTCTGTACATGCCTCCTTAACAATCATAAAGGGCTCTTAGACCTTTGCCTAGTCTCCCTACTAGGCCTGTACTCCTGGGGACTGTTCAGTCTACCTCCTTTCTTCTACCTCTAAATCATAACCTTGGAGGTCAGGATACCCAGCTAACAAGCCTCACTGCACACATCGGGAAACAGAGGCCCAGGAAGGAAGTGATTTGCTGAGATAATACTGAAACCCTCCCTTCCAGTTCATTCCCCTGTTGCCTTTCCCATCATTCTCAGACTCCCATCTTGGACTATCAATTCTGATTTCATTCACATTTAAACACTATCTTATGGTATAGTGGGTGACCTTTTGATTTTGCCTTTTGACTACTCCAGACACTGTCCCCTGGCAACCACAACAGTGAGGATGACAGGCCAAGCTGGTGCAAGAACTGGCTTGTCATGCCTGAGAATCTTTAAAACTGATATCCTCTGGCTGGCTGTTGAGAAGGAAGTCTGATCACATCTCCTACCTGCAGTATCATGATCTGCTCTCCCTACTGACTTGCTTGCAGTATGTGTTCCTAGCCGGTCTCCTGACCAGAACCCAGGAAAGGGGCTACAGCCTTAGACTCTCCAAAGACACATATGAACATAAGACAATCCCCAGGACTCTCCAGCACACATGCCAAGCCCAGCCTCTCTCAACAGAACCATTGTTTTTCCACTGAAGACTGTGAGTGACTTTGAGTGAAGCCCCAGGGGAGTTGAAAAATGGGGTTTACTGCAACCCTCCTCTTACCCCTCTACCCCATATCTGTGGGGACAGCAAAAAGGAGGGGACAAATGAAGACCTCTCCTCTGGACCAGTGACCTGGGACTCTGAAGAGTGGATCTGCTGAGTCTCAAAAGGAAACAGAGCCCTATACACCTCCTGAATCAGGACAAAGACATTTTATGTCCTCCTTGATCAAGTCCCCAGAGAGAGCAAAGAACAAAACTCCCTGAGTACCCCCAGGAGGATAGTGGGATATTTGTTTTTTGTGCGAGCTAAAGCAAGCTCTATGTGTTTGTGTAGCTGTGTGCACATCCGCAGTGCAGGCCAAAGGAGGAAAACAAACTGTTAGTCAAGGCCTAACACTTTGGAGTGGCCTGGAAATGGGCTCCCTAGCTAGTGGCTTTTTGCAAGATCAGGAGGTTGAGAAGTCCCTTTTCTCATACATTTTGAGGACAAAGCAGACTTGTTCTTGTCATCATGACTGAAGATCAAAGACCCCTCCTAGGTGCTCTCTCCACTCCCTGCCATCTGTTTATTCTCGGCTGCTCCCTATCTGTGATAGACAGAGCAGAGATGCCAGGCCTCCCTCTACAAGGAACATCTCTCTCTCCAGCTCAGGAGTGCAGTTAGCAGGCAGCACTGACTGCCAGCCCTTTAAGTTCTGCCTTGGTCATTCTGTGGCATCACTCCAGGCAACACCCATCCTGAGGCATATCCATACCTAGTCACTGGGCTTGGTGAGATGTGATGTCTCAGTCAATTTGGCCCACTTAGCTACAACTCTGATGAGTAATTTTTATTCTAAAATTCTGAGTGCATCAGACCAAGACTCCAGGCCTGCAGCATAGTCTAACTTCCACCACCCCACCTTTTCCTCTGAATTCTTTTTACATGTGTTGGCTAAACAGCTTGTGCCCATTAGTGTCCTAAATGGTAGCTCCAGAAAAGTATGTCCACATTTTAATCCCCAGAAACTGTGACAAATACCTTATATGGGAAAAGATATGGCTAAGCATCCTGGGACTTTCCAGGATTATCTAAGTAGGTCCTAAATGACAGCCAATGTGTCCTCTTATGAGGGATGGGGGGCTTTTAAGAGAGAAGAAACAGTGATGTGAAGACAGAGGTTAAGATTGGAATGAGGGCAACTATAAGCCAAGGACCTCCAGCAGTCACCAGAAGCTGGAAGAGGCAAGGAATGGATCCTCCTGCCAGATCCTCCAGAGAGAACATGGCTCTTATGCTACCCTAATTTCAACCCAATAAGCCCCAAGAACTGTGAGAGAATATAATTCTATTGGTTTGCACCACCTCCTTCATAGTAATTTGGTTAAATACCTGCAGGAATTAAATAGACACTTGAAAGTTTATTTGATTATCAGCTTCCAGAGAGCTCCACCTGCAATACTCATCCACAGTCTACTGTGAGCAAATGGAAAGTAATCCTTGAGCTAATAATGTAGTGCACTGGTAGAGTATTTGCTTAGCATACTCGGGGCCCTAGTTTTAGCCCCCAATACAGCAAAAGCATGACCTGGCATGGGGAAGCATCCCCATCCAGGGCTGAGGACTTCCTTCCTTCAAAGCTCTAGACATCACTGAAGACCCTGCTTAGTCCTACATTTATGCAGAGCCTTTCTTGATAGGCCAGCCACCATAGATCACTTTCTGAACCTTGTCCCTGAAATTCTGGTCCACATGTTTGTGCCTCATTTGAGTATGGTTTCAGGAAGATCTCTGTCCTGCTTGCCCATCCAACTGGGAGATTCCTGAGTCTGGGGGTGATGTGGGTAACTTTGTGTTCCCCATAACAAGGGAGGGCTGGACACAGAGCAGATGCTGAGAACAATGAATGCCTTCTTCAGCCCTTCCCTACATTGTTCATACATCACACTGGCTACCCATCAGATGGAACCACTTCTCAATAGGCAAGAGACAGATGAATCAACAGTCAAGAGACTTCAATCAGAATAAAATTACCACCAGCTATTCTCTACTCCCTGGGATTTGAGTGGAAACATTATTTTGCCAGCTTATATCAGGCACACCTTTTAGCCTGTAGGACTGGATGTATGATTTGTGGGACCCAAAGAAAAATGGAAATATGAGCTAGACCTATACAGAAACAACTAATAGTTGCAAGGTGACACAGCAAAGCTAAGCTGAAGCCCTCTACTGTGTAGGTTACAGGCTCACCAAGCTGGCCCAGGGAACAGAGTGTAGACATGGATCCTCCTTACACTTGGCATTGAGTGTTGCTGGCATTTGCTGAGGGGTCATTTAATCTCCACACCCAAGGGGAGCAAGTATAGGACAGGGGTGAAATATAATATATGCCAAAGGCCTATGAGATCAGACTCAGCCAGCTGCAGTTATCGGGAGGGTATAACAACAGCCCAGCCCACGAGGCTGACTCAGCACAGGAGAATGCTGGCTTTAGGGTTTTGTTAAGTGTGGCAGTTTTTGAGCCTCTTGCCTGTGGTCTTGCAACATGTGACTTCTGCCTATAAGTGGTTTCCCTAAGTCTGAACATTTTCTCTGGTGTTGACATAAATACTTTGTTGGAGCTGAGGTCTTTGAGGAAAGTCCTGATCTCTGGGAAAAGACTGGCTTGCTATCAAATCATGACTGTCCTGTTACTGTGTAACTTTTGCCATGTTATTTACCTTTTCTAGGACTCACTTTCTGTGTGTACAAAATAGGGAGGAATAGCTTTACTCTTGCAGAAATGTTGTCCCTTTTAAGTGTCTTTTTTTGAAGGGAAAGAACAGAGGCATTCTCTATAGAGAATATAGTGACATCTTGGAGGAAATTCTGATTCCTACACAGGGAGCCCCTACAATAAATACTTCTGGCTGCTGACAGTCTGACTGTGGCCATTTTTGGTGCTTCTCCCATCCAGAACCCAGGTCAGTCATGAAAGGCAGCTGAGCAGCTTCCATCTCCACCTCCCTCCCTTGCCTGGCCCTCCAGCAGGCTCAGAAGGGAATCTTCCAGCAAACATGGTACAGGGAGCCTTACCAAGTCCATCTGTGCTCATTATGTGAAGAGAAATGAAGACTTGTTGGCCCAGTGAGCACCAGCCTCCTAGCTAGTTCCTGGTGATGTGGCTCCCCTATGCACTTTACCCCTGCTATTCACATACATTGGCCCAATTGAGATTACAAGAACATAGGATATTCTCTGATCAGCTTTCAGCTCTTGAAGGAATTTCCAACCATAAGAAAAGCTTGATTGTAGATGTAACAGTCTTATTAAATAAGAAACACAGAGCCAAATTCAGAGTTAAAAGCCCAAGAGGTCAGAGCAGTAGTTAAGAGCTAGAAAACCCTTTCTTACCCTTCACTGTCACTGCTGTCCTTCCCCTCAGTAAGAGGCCTACTTCCTGTATGTTTGTCCTTTTTATTGACTTTTTGTTCTGCCTTCTTATTGGTTGTAAACCCAACCACATGACCTCCTCATCACTGCCCATCTATACAGACCTCCAGGTCTTCTATGGTTGGTATTGAGATTAAAGACATGTGTCTCCATGCTGGTGGTATCCTTGAACACACAGAGATCTGCTTGTCATGTGATGGGGATTAAGGGCATGTGCTACCACTGCCAGACTTCTGCTATGGCTTGCTATTAGCTCTGACCCCCAGGCAACTTTATTTATTAACATACAAATAAAATCACATTTCAGTACAAATAAATTATCACCATACTTGATACCCAAGCAGGGGACAACAGCACTAAGGTGAACAGAGAATGGACTGTAACCCTAGAGTCAGTGTGGCATCCCCCAAGAGAAAATTGACTCTGGGAGCAGACATGTACCCCTTTGGATCCTGCCACAGTCAGTGTTGAAAAAAATCAATATATCAAAGTTATTGTTTGCAGGAATATTATTCATTGCAATTAAATAATAAACATATCATTTGTGATAAATAAACAATTATGCACTAGAATAGCAAAATGTTGGAAACACCATAAAGGTGGTTACACAGGACTACAGAATAAACTACAGTGCATCCACACAATGGGGTGCCACACCCTGTACAGAAGGATGATGAAGGGCTCTATGAACTCACATGAGGAAAAGCACCATGGGCATTTATAGGAGGCTGACTTTTGTGCAGAGAAGAGATGTAAAACCCCATTTATATGCCTGCTCACTTGAAATACTCTAAACTGCATGCTATGAGGAATTGGAAGAAATTATATGATTGTGTGTCTCAATACATCCACAGTACAGGCTGGGAAAGATGAAGTGTGCCTGGAGCTCCATTAGGAAAATGGCAGCCTTCATTTAGCTTCTTCATGGTAAAGGTCATTCTGTCTGCACAATGTTCATGTTGTTGTTTGTGTTCAGACATGAGTACAGAGTGGCCTTGTTTTGTCTTGATCCATCTTAGTCAAAGAGGGGCCTTGTTTGATGTTGGCAATCTGAGAAATTGTTTATGTCTAAGGAGAATACAAGGGCTGTGCTGTATTGGCCAAGCCAGCTGTGGGTAACACGGAGGCTAAGATTTAACTGATCATGCCAATCCAACTCCACCCTCTAGGGTGCACATCTCCTTCTCTGTAGGACAATTGGTAGAATTCAAATAAGGTCTATAATTCAATAAATAGGACTGCTATTGATATTAATTTCTGAGTGTCAGTAAAAATGTTGGTTAAGTGATGTGTTAGCATATGAGCAACCTGAATGAAGAGTATAAATGGATTCTGCATTCTGTTTTGTATCTTTGTTATAAGTATAAAATTAGTTTAAAATGGTTTTTTGTTGTTGTTGGTTTTGTTTTTGTTTTGTTTTTGGGGGGGTTGGTTTTGTTTGTTTGTTTGTTTGTTTGTTTTTCGAGACAGGGTTTCTCCGTGTAGTTTTGGTGCCTGTCCTGGATCTCTCTCTCTAGACCAGGCTGGCCTCAAACTCACAGAGATCCGCCTGGCTCTGCCTCCTGAGTGCTGGGATTAAAGGCATGTGCCACTGCCGCCCGGCTATATTAGTTTAAAATGTTTTTCAAAAAAAAAAAAAACATTTATTAGTTAATCCTGTGGTGTGGTATGGTGTGGTGTGTGTGTGTGTGTGTGTGTGTGTGTGTGTGTGTGTGTGTGTGTGTGTTGTGTGTGTGTGTGTGTTGTGTGTGTGTGTTGTGTATGTGTGTGTGTTTGTGTGTGTGTGTGTGTGTGTGTGTGTGTGTGTGTGTGTGTGTGTGTGTGTTGTGTGTGTACCACAGCATTCATGTTGATGTCGATTCTTTCCTTCTACCATGTAGAGCCTTCAGGATCAAACTCGGGTTGTCAGTCTCGGTAACAAGAACCTTTACCTTCTGAGTCATCTTGCTGGCTCAACGGGTTTTGATTTTATTTTATTATTTCACTTTATTTTATTTTATTTTTAAACCTTAGCTCACGGAGCAGAAATTAATTCAGCACCATGTAGAGAGGTTGGCTTGTGTGTCAGGGTTGTGCTGTGCAAAACAAAATAAACATCTCAAAATGCCAAAGCATTATCTGTGTGACAAAATGGCCCTAACTATGAGAAACACATGAAAACTGATCTGGCATCACAAGAGGATTCAAGTCTCCCACAGGATGGATAGGCAAGGACAGTATTAATTGAGTAGAAACATTACTGTTCCATTTCCATTGTCACTGCCATTTCTCTCCATCTCTTCAGTTCAATCTGTTTTTGTGAATGTGTCCATCCTGGGACCAGAGCTACTTGTATCATAGGTGAAGGTAGCAGAGACTCAGGGCCAAGATCCTTTCCTTGCTATACACAAACAATAGTGCTCTTTGGAGGGCAGCTGCCAAACACAGTTTAATCCATCCCCCCACCCTGCCATCACCACTGTCATCCTTTAGCCAAATCCCTTTGCATCTTGCCTGTACCTGTAACAACTCTCTGAAAAGAAAATTACTCTTTAAGAGAAATTGTGCCAAAAGTAAGTCAGTAGCATTTGGCTTGTCAAAATAACAAACATTTTAATATGTTATTTTTTAATGATCCTACCCAGAGCAGGCAAAATTTCAGGAAAAGAGGCAAGTCATGGAAACTTTGTGAGAACATAATCCTATTGAAAAGCAATTGGCAAAGTTCATCAAGAGCCTTAAAAGGGGAGTAGTGGGGAGAGGTGGAAAAAAGGAGCCTGAAAAGGGATGGCACACTTTACCCAGTAATTCCACTTCTGTGATGCAATCCAAAGGAAGTCATCCAGAATGCAGAAAGATGTGTATGCAGACCGGCTGCAAAAATCATGTATTGAACATTCATGACCTCCACTGAATGAGAATAAGTGGTATTTTTAATAGGTCTAAACTACAAAACAAGATAACATGGAAGAGGAGAAAACAGAATGACAATTTTGGAAGCCCAAAAGCCAATAATTTAGGACCAAAAGAACAGGATCCTAAATTGGCAGCAAAGAATGTGAGAACCAGCTCGATTCATACCACAAAACCCTTCCCTCCAAAAGTTTGAGACTGACAACACCAGATTGCATCAGAAATGAGGGCTAAGAGGTGGCTGAAGTCTGTATAAGGCCTCTTTTTAGAAGCAGTTGGATCTCTGCCCTATTCCCCAGCTTTGAGATCCAAAGTCAAGGCCCTTGAAGATCAACAAAAAAATAAGACACTCCTTCTCTAGACAGTGTGCGTGCAGAAAGGGCCTGAAAGCTTGTGTTCATGAAGACTGTAAATTCCCCACCCTCTCCCACACCTCCAGGCTGGAGAATAAATGATTGATCCCTGCTACCGGAACCCCATGGAAGAGACTGACATCAGAAGCTCCTCAAATAACCCACTCACCAGGTCCCCACCAGAAGGTCACTTCCTACAAACCCCATGTGCTTTCCAGAGCACTCAGTCATCTTTTTCAGTTCCCTGCTCCTTTTGTTTTGTTTCTGGTTTTGAGTCCCAACATTATTTTGAAATGATCTCAAACCTTCAGAAAAGCTGATACCAAAGTCCAAATACCTCCCATGTACCCTGCATCTGCATTGCTGGCCATTTGCTTTCTTCCCCATGCCTGCTTTATCATGCCTCCCCCCCACTTCACCTGTCTCCCTCCCTGGATGGCCCTGATGCCTTCTGCTCCGCCTTTTCTATCCCTACTGTTTTCTGAGCTATTTTGGAGCAACCACACATGTGCCTCTACATGCTTGAGTCCATATCCTAAAAGCAAAGGCTTCTATAACCACAATTTGAGGACCCAGACCAGAACAGTATTACCGAAAAACTGCTAGCCAACTCCAGCACTTCTTCAAATTTTGTCAATTTCCCCAAAACTGTCCTTCAAACAAATTTGTTTTTTCCTGTCCCAGGACCCAACCTTGGACCACACATTGCACACAGCTGTTATGTGACTCTGGTCTCCTTTAACTTGAAATGATTGCTCCACCTATGTATGTGTGTTTCATCACTTTGATGCCTTTAAAGTGGAAAGGCTGCTTGTAGAATGTCATTCAATTGGGTTTGTTTGATTTAATTTGGAGTAAGAATGCCTTAGAAATGACACTGCAATTTCTTCACTGCTTCCTATCAGACGGCATATGAGGGCAGTTTATCTCTTTTTTTTCTTAATCATTTTTTTATTAAGAAAAATTTTTCATTCATTTTACACACCAAAGATCTCCCTCTTCCGTTCTCCCGTCCCCCAGCCTCCCCTCCCAACACATTCCCCATTCCCTCCCACAAGAAGGCAAGGGCCTCCCAGGTGGAGGCACATTCAGTAGAGGCAAGTCCAAGCCCTTCTCCCTGCCTCAAGGCTGCATGAGGTGTCCTATCATAGGTAGCAGGCTCCCCAAAGCCCGTTCATACACCAGAGCTAGATTCTGATCCTACCGCCAGGGGGCCTTCCAATCAGATCAAGCTACACAACTGTCTCACCATGAGGACGTTTATCTTATTATTGGCAATGTTGATGTGGTTAAGGTGATTTGTACTTGCAAACATCTACTGTAACTGAAGAGGTAATACTTGGAAATTATCAAACTATTCTCTGTTCCTCAAACTTTCACCTACTAACTTTGGTATCCATTGATAATTCTTATCTGAGTCAATGGTTGACTTTTCTAATTCTATTATTCCTTTTACATTGATTAGTTACAATTCTAGTGTGAAAAGAACTTTTCTTTTTCCCCTACTTACTATTTATGCATCTATATATGTATGAATTAGTGGATTCATATTCATTGGGTTATAATTTGATTTGATTTGTTTTAATGCTTAAATTTTTCCCAGAGGTGGTGATCGGGTTGCCAGGAACACTAGACACCAGAAGACGATGACTTCAAGTTTCTAAAGGAAAATTATTTCCAACCTTGAAGAATCAGTTATATATCTATTCAAGCTATCTAAAATATTTCCAGATATTCAAGGTCTGAGTTTTTCTTCTTAAGTGCCCTGTCTTAGGAAACTATCAGCGGATGTGTTTGGCTAGTAGAGCACAACAGATTGTGATGAAGGAGATACGGGTTGTAGGAAACCAGAGAGCTGGCATGCAGATGGGCAAGGATCCCAGGACACTAATAAGGTAGTTCCTAGAGTCTGCTCTGCATAAGGCATGGACACACCCAGAGGGCCAGGTCAAACTAATTCAAAAGATACTCCTTCAGACAGGAAACACAAACCCAGTGTGTCTACTGATTCCAAGAAACTTACTCTGGTAAAGAATTTAGATTTAAATTAAAAGTAAATACAGTTTAAAAAGTGCAAGCAAAGGCATTAACACCACAATTAACTTTTGAGCAAAAAGTTATACAAAAAATTAAAAATAGGTATTGTATACCTAATGGCTGAACTTGAAATGGTATTTATGCAGCCATAAAGCTTCAGACACAAAATATTTATTTAACTGAGGTAATGGTATAATCTATAATCTATATTGGGGATATAGGAAAGATCTTTATGAGAGGAGTGGGCCAAGGAGAAGATAATAAAGTGAACCTTCATTTTCCATACTAGAATTTCAAAAAGAAAATGCTTACAGCAGAGAAAATCAACAAGTTTCCATTCAAACCTGTTATTTAAAGAAGTGCAGTAAGTAGGCAAAAGAACTAGCTAAAAGCTGTTATCACCTGTGTGGCAAGGCAAAAAGAGGGGGCAGCTGGTTTTCATAACCAACTCTGCAGTGCTACATGATTCCAGACATACACTGTTTTTAGAATTGCAACACTAACAATTTAACTGAAACTGAAAGAAATGGAACATGCGTGCATTAAAATGATAATCATGCCATTATACTTAATTACCTTATAAAGCAACAGGTTCCACATGGCATTTTCATACATACTCTGTTTTGGTTGATATCACATATCATTTTAAATAGCAGAGTTGTTTCAGCTCAAACGAGTAGGGAAATGGCTCAAGAATTTGGGTTGCATCCACACAATTATATATGCAACTAAACTGAAATGTTGCTTAGAGAGAGATTATGCCACAAGAAAACACTTCTGACCCAATGCTAAGTGAAACTAGCATGTCACAACATATTCCATATCTGTTCAGTACTTTAGATTTTTCTGTCTTGAGTTGGAGTTTTTGTTTTTAAATAAAAATTTACATAGGAAGAATAGAAATAAAGTATTGCCAGTAGTTGTATTCAGAATATCCAAAATTATTTCCACTTTTCTGTCTTGAACAAGTGTTGATTTGGAACTTTAAAAATATTTCCAGGACTGTAAAGTGGTTAAGAACACTGGCAGCTCACAACCATCTGTAACTCCAGTTCCATGAGGCCAGTTCCAACACTCTCTCCTGGCCTCCTTGGACACTGT